CACCGCTCGGATATTACAGTTCGTCGATGCCATGAGAGGAAAGGCGCACGGACTAACATTGGACCACATCCAGAAAGCAGAGCGGATGTGGATAGAGCGAAGTCAACAAGAGAGTTTTGCTGAAGACATCAGTCGACTGCAGAAAGGAAGGAACTTGGCAACCGGCAGCGCGTTAAGGAAGCTCGACCCCATATTCGAAGATGGCGTACTGCGAGCTAGAGGACGGATTGACGCAGCCGATGTGGACAGCCAAATGAAGAGGCCCATCATCCTGAACGGACGCCACCAGTTTGTAAAGCTGCTTGTGGAGAAGGCGCATAAGGAAGCAAGCCACGCCAACAGGGAATGGGTAGTGAACGACCTACGCACGAGATATCACATACTTCGACTACGACCGACCGTACGAGAAGTGGAGCGGAGATGTCTGCGGTGCAGGGTACGCAAGGCGACACCACGGCCAGCGGTTATCGGAGATCTACCACCTGAACGGTTAGGGGCATTCGCGCGACCATTCACCTACACCGGAATCGACTATTTCGGGCCTATAACAGTAACAATAGGACGTAGGCATGAAAAACGGTGGATAGCGTTATTCACTTGTTTAACGACGCGCGCGGTACATCTAGAGATAGTTTATTCCCTAACGACGGACTCGGCGATATCGGCATTGCGGCGCATGGCGGCTAGGCGTGGGTGGCCACAGGTCATCTACTCGGATAACGGGACAAACTTTCATGGGGCGGACACCGAATTACGACGGGCGATGGAAGAGTGGGCACCCCTGCTGAAGGACTACGCGTTGACTCGGCGGACGGATTGGAAGTTCATCGCGCCGGGAGTGCCGAACCAGGGAGGCGCATGGGAGCGTCTCGTGCGCTCGGTGAAGACCGCGCTCGAAGCCACACTCAATCAGAAGAGCCCACGGGAGGAGACATTAGCGACGCTCCTCACAGAAGCCGAAAACACCGTTAACTCTCGACCGTTGACGCACGTACCGGTCGACATCGACGAAGAAGAGGCATTGACACCCAACCACTTCTTGCTGCTGGGACCATCGAGCCTTCCAGTGACCGCGCCGTGCACGCCTAATGATCGTCGAGCGTGGAGAGCGGCGCAGGGACTTGCCGACGAGTACTGGAAGCGCTGGGTGAAGGAGTACCTGCCGACGCTGGTTGCGCGCGGAGACTCAAGGGACGTGCAGCAGCGCCCGGTACAAGAAGGAGACCTCGTCGTGGTGGCAGACGGGACCATGCCGCGGAACGTGTGGCCAAGAGGAGTTATAACGAGGACCTTTCCCGGACCAGACGGCGTGGTACGGAACGTCGAAGTGAGGACCAGGGGCGGATTGCTGCGGCGGCCGGTCAGGAGGATCGCCGTCCTCCCGAGTGCAGCCTAGGCTCGCAAGGCTACGCCGGGGGGAGAATGTTACGGACAGCGAGAGACCCGCCGCCCCGTCGCCCCTTCGTTCCCCGTTACGTCCCGCGCACCCCGCACGCCGGCGCTGATCACGCGATATCGGGCAACCAATCAGCGCGCGTGCGGCGAAAATTGCCATCGGGCGGATAACCCCACGGAATGAAGCGCTCTCCTCGGGAATATAAGAAGGGCGATTTAGGCCGTGGGCGTTCATTCGGAAGCGGCACTCGAGAAGACAACAAGGAAGAATCAAGACAGAAAACCTGGAAGAAGACTCCACACTGAAGACCTCCCTCTTTGAATAGTGATTTAGTTAATAGTGCCGAACCCTTTGTAAATAGTGAATATAGTATAGTTAAAAGTACCATCTTTTCTTCGAGCAGTCCCCTAGTATAGCTAACCTCACACCGCCAGTTAAAGTATAAAAACAGTCCACTACTCTCCATCCACTTTAACATTAATCAGGAAACTTCAACACTACGGTGTAAGAAGTGATGGTCTTAAATTAATTATTTCATATTTAAGTAAGAGAACGCAAAAAGTTGTCATTAACAGTATGAGCTCTTCCGGATCGAAGGTACAAATGGGCGTGCCTCAAGGCTCAAATCTCGGCCCCTTTCTGTTTCTAGTATACATTAATGACTTACCTTACATAGTAGGGGATAACCATGATATAGTATTATTTGCAGATGACACCTCTTTAATTTTCAAATTAAATCGACAATTACTAAAATATGACGAAGTAAATAATGCTATATCTAAATTAGTAAATTGGTTTAATGTTAATAATTTGCATTTAAATGGCACTAAAACGAAATGTATGAAATTCATGACTCCAAATGTCAAACAATTAAATACTAATGTAATTTTAAATGGGGAGAAACTGAGTCTTGTATATACCACCATCTTTCTTGGAATCACACTAGACGCGAAGCTTCAATGGAGCCCCCATATATCAAAACTAGCAAGCAGACTTAGTTCTGTAGCATATGCTGTAAAAAAGATTAGAAGTCTAACCAGTGTTGAAACAGCTTGACTAGTTTACTTTAGCTATTTCCATAGCATAATGTCGTATGGTATTTTGCTATGGGGACACGCAGCTGACACTGAAATTATATTTGTTTTACAGAAGAGGGCCATAAGAGCAATTTATGATTTAAAGCCTAAAGAATCGCTGCGACAAAAATTTAAGGAAATTAATATATTAACTTTGGCCTCTCAATACATTTATGAAAATGTAATGTACGTACACAAAAATAAAAGTAGTTTTACAAAAATAAGTGATATTCATTCTGTAAATACTAGGAACAGACACAAGCTAGTAGTACCAGTTACTCCATCGAGTCAGTAATTCATTCTTGGGGCGATGTATACGCTTTTACAACAAAATTCCAGAAAATATACAAAGTTTGACCTGCTCAAAGTCCAAAAACTTTATTAAACTAAGTTTGTATAAAAAGGGTTATTATAATATTAAGGAATTTATGGATGATAATAACCCCTGGAAATGAGGTGATCGCTACCAAGCTATTTCTAATTTGTTGTGTTGTTAATTTGTGTAACATCATGATTGTAAGCTGTTATTTAAAAAAAAAAGTCCCGCTGGGTTTCTTGCTGGTTCTTCCCAGGACAGAGGTTTTTTCCGAACCAGTGGTAATCAAACAAAAGAGTGACTTTCCTGTATCTATTGGTATAAATTCAAATTTCATTTCTGGGATTTCTGATGTTGCCTCGTTGATCGAGTTTGCGTGATTATTATGAGATACTGGATTTCCCCAAATGTTGGGTCAGAATTGCCGCAGTGTTTCGGACAGTGTCTCTAGGTTTTGGTTACTGGTGTCTCTGTGATTAGATGTAAGGTTTCTGTAAAATAATTTTTCATTGTTGGTAAATTATGTGTTTTGTACTTTGCGGTTCGTGCATGTTATATATCTTATTAGTCTACTGGATGCTGCGTTTAATTTTTGTTTTAAAGTGTCCAAGAAGTGATCTAGTTCTGTATTCGAGTTTTCGTGTTGTGCGTGTATTTGGTATTTTCTCTTTATTTCTTCTACTGCAACTACTACTTTTTTACTTCTGCTACCATTAATGAAGTGTGTCAATCTGCCTATATGTGCTCTGAAACTTTTGATTTTCTTTTCTAATCTGACTTGCCATGTTGGTTATTTAATTATTTATGTTCGTCTTTCATTTTGTGTGGTAAATTATTGTCTGCAATGTGATGAAATCGGTATCTAGATTTACGTTCTTAGGAAGAATGATAGTGTAACTATAGCAGTGAACCTTCTAGACGATTTCTGCTTGAGAATGTATGATTTGTTAGTGAGATATCTGCAAAATATTGTTGAGCTTGTAGAAACGTCTTCTATTTCCGAGTTAATTTCAGGAGCAGCATCAAAGTTATATGTATATTATATATATTCCTTTTTATCCTTTATATTTAAAATGTGTGGAATTGCATTGTTTTTATTGATTGTCATTTATAAATATGAAGCGCCTACTATTCTACATTACGTACCGAGTGACCTATTTTTAAATGTGTAGTATTAGTTGTCATATAGATTACAGGAAAGTGAGTCTTTACCCCCGATTGCAAAGACAAAGAAATAACGCGCGGGCACCACCCAATCGGAGTGTGTACCAAACCAAATTCTGTTAAGACTTTGGACAGTTCACCACTACGTCACATGGAAGTAATCGAGGGGGTCATTCAGTAATAAGCCCGGCTGTCAAAAACACAGTGATCGAGTTTTTCTAGGGTAATCCCCGCGCTAGCAACAACGACTGCATCATTCGAGAATTCAGGGTTAGCCAGTATTACGTGTGGAAACTACTGAATTCTTCCATATATCACTCATTTCATTACCAACGTGTGCAAGCACTGAACAATAACGATTGTCCATCTCGAAAAAAAATTTGTGAATGGTTGATGTCAAACAAACATTGATAATACTATGTGGCCTGACAAGGACCTATTTACGCGTGTAGGGCTTTATAATAGTCGTAATTTTAAACATTACTCTCTCTACTGTTTGCAACTCGCGCGCTATAAAAGACAGTTATCATCAAGTGCGTTTTTTTTTTCATAACATAATTATGGACCCGTTCATCATTTAAAGACGATTAATGAGTTATAATTATTTGGACATATTACAACAAGGAATAAAATTTATTTCCAACACGACAGTGCTCTATTCAAGTACAGTGCGTTATTATACGAAGATAGGTGGATTGGGCGTGGCGGCCCTATACCATAGCAATTGCAGATTTTTCTATTATTTTAAGTGGTTATCAGGAAGACGCTGTCCATCTCTTGTTTAAGTTTCCCTCTGTCGCCTCTTACGACACCCACTAGGCCAATAATAGTCACTTCTCTTACACCGCCCCTACGTGACATGTTCCAATAAAGTTTTATTAAATACTTGCTATTACCAGCCCACACATACGTTATTATTCCATAAAAAAAATACATTTACTACCAAGAGGACCGTGTGAAGTTTCGTTTTTTACTCATTATATAAAAAAAAAATTATAAAACCTTTGAAAACGACCGACTTGTATTCCATTAGTATTCCAAAACATACCTCGAAAATGACGCGTTAACTCCGCCCTCTTCATCCACGTCATGTTCTGTAATGAAGAATTAATGTTTTACACACAAAAACTAAAATTGAAATTTTATTTGGGTATTATTAAATATGATTTCGACCCTTCATTAATATGATTTAAATTATTATCCATTGTACGAATGACTACATTTTATTCTCTCTTGGGTTGGCAAAAACAGTTTTTATTTTAGTCGTTATTAGGAAGACGCTGCGACCCATCTCTTGATTTGTTTCCCTCTGTCGCCTCTTACGACACCCACGGGACGATATGGGATGATGAATATTCTTACACCACCACTACACGGTAAATGTAAATGTAGACTCAGGCCTATTTTCAGCAGTGGACTTTAATAAGCTGTAACGGTAATGATTCGTACATTTATTTGTTCAAAACTGGTTCACTTACGTTGCCGATTCAATACGGTCAAGTTTCGATCCCAGTGGATCGTAGGTGGCGGGTCGCCGGACGCTCTACAGTCGAGCCGGACCGACTGTCCGACAGACACGTGCTTCTGCTGCCCGGATTCCGGTTCTATTACCCTTGGAGATACTGAAAAATATAAGAAAGAACATGTGTGAGTGTCGTGGAACACTCGGTGGAACAAAGTGCTTTTCGTAGTATAATATTATTGATTAACAAGTACAAATAAGTGAATTACTAAAGTCCATTAAAATGAAGCGATAAGAAAAAGTGCGAGGGAGATGGCTATTTTTTTTTATAGGATAGTGTGAAAAACGAGCACACAGTCCACCTGATGGTAAGTGGTTGCTATGACCCATAGACATCTGTCTATGGGTTCTATTCTAACATCTATTCTCAATAAAGAATCAAAATGCAAATATGTTATCTCCCGTGCGGGCTAAGATGGAATGCCTCTTTTCCAGTAAAAAGGATCTCCGGTCCCCCAAACTAGAATATCGCTGCTTTTTCCTAAATTAGAATATAACTCAAATACTCGTATCATTCCATCTAGCGAGATGTATAGGAATGTAAAGGATGCGATGTAAGATGTAAAGGAAGCGTCCTTATAGCCGCCAAGGCTGTCTACACTACGTCAGAAGGGGTCGTGACGGAAAAATCTTACATTTTTTCTCGCCTAGCCCCATCCGCCAAATTCTTACCGTCCTATAACGAACTTCGTCCCAATAAGAATTTTTTATAAATAGCAATAATCAATAAACCGATGAAGAAAAATTGTTATCCATTAACCTACAAATAATGATCAGCGGGGTTTGCCAAGATGACTTTGTAAGATCAAGAAAAAGTAATATATAAGTGGTACTATACTATATTGCAGCTATATTATAGTTGTAGTAGAAATGGGTCAGCTCGACTGGGGAAGGACCACGCTCACACGGAATACCATCGTAAAGTAGTAGCTTAATACCTACTGCTGTGTTTGTTATTGCGAGTGTAGAGAACCGTTGACCCTTTTTACTGGAAATGAGGCATTCCGTTTCAGTGCCAAGGGGTGCATCGACAACGCATCTGCATTTTGATTCCTAATCGAGGATAAATGTAGATGTCTATGGGCCACACAGCATCTACTTACTATCAACTGGATTGTGTGCTCTTTCGGTCACCCGTATTCTATAAAATAAAAAATATATAAAAATGAATGGGAATAACATATTTAAACGTTAAGTCGTGTGTCAGTCTCTCATTACACTGACTCTCCTTACCCTTAAGACTGGCATATGGCCGTGAAGTCACTGCCGCTTGGCAGCAGAAATAGATAAGAGAATGGTTCCTACCCAGACAAATTCCTAGACGGAAAAAAAAGTTGTACCACCTTGTCAAGTCTCTAACGCATCCTTTCCGATCGACTCGCTCCACTGGCTTTGCGAAGAGACATTGCATCTATTTGCATTTTTCTACCGACTTCATGAAGAAGACCATACTCAATTCGATTGTATGTTTTTTTATGTGTGTTACACACATAACTTTTTACTGGGTGAACCGATTTCGATGATTCTTTTTTTATATGAAAGCTGATATGAATTTCATATGAATTTCAGCAAGGTCTGACCAATAGCTTTTGAGTTATATTTAATAATTTATATTGAAGTCGAACGTACAAAATTTTCAATTTTAAATTATTATCGTTTCAGCTACGGAGAACGCTCGAAAAAATTGTTCGGATTTAGTGCACTGCGAAGCAATTTTTATTCTACTCCACTAAAAACCAATATTTTTTTTATATAGAATAAGGTGACAAGTGAACACACAGTTTACCTAATGGTAAGTGGATACTGTGGCGTATGAACATCTACATCTATCCTTGATTAAGAATCTATATGCGTTGCGACCCCTGAGAACTAAGATGGAATGCCTCGTTACCAGTAAAATGGGTCTCCGGTTCTCTACACTCACCATACGAAACACAGCAACATTAAACTGCTATTTTACGCTGGTTTTCTGTGAGAGCGTGGTCCTATCCCGGTCGAGCCGACCCATTCGTGCTACAAATATAATATAACTGCAGCGTGGCTACCACGTGAACTAAACAATGGAACTAGGCTGGTTATACAACTTACCCACAACGTCCAATGTAATCTTGGCTGTGATTGAACTGTCACCGTCAGTCGCGCGGCACGTGTACTGTCCGGAATGGCGGCGCGCTGCCTCTGTCACCATCAGAGTGCCGTTTTGCGACGTCACTCCTTCGGGAAGCGGGTCATTTTCGTTCTGAAATGAATAATCATATTAAAATTATCTATACAGATAAATAAAATTGAAATGTCTGTCTGTAATATCGAAATAACTGTCTTATAATAAGCTGAGAGGGTTATTGGTATGACAATAAGACATTGATAACCATGTTTTAAATGTTTGTCTGTCTATTTGTTCGTCCGGGCCAATCTTCGGAATGGCTGAACCAATTGTAATAAAACTTCGCGAACCAATAGAGAGTAATGCCAGGAATGGTTACTAGTATAGGACTGTTATAGTTGTTCGATTTTCGTATATTTTCTGTTTATCATACACCTTATATTGCTTAGAGTAAAGACTGATCCGTAAGTATGGGCTGGTGATATGCTATCCGTACCGTATACCGTTACAGCCTATTAAACCACTGATGAACATAGGCCTCCCCATAGATTAACTCACGGGGGGGGATATTTGCCATAGTTGCCACGCTTGGCAAGCGGGTTGGCAACTACATATTTTTTATTTTTAGTTGTTATTAAGAAGACGCTGCTGTCCATCTCCTGATTTGTTTCCCTCTATCGCCTCTTACGACACCTGCGGAATGATATGGAGTAGGTGATATGTTATATAGGGAATTAATCGAGGATAGATATAGGTCGTCTATGGGCCTCAGCGTCCACTTACCATCCGGTTAAATGTGTGATCACTTGTCACCTTCATTCTATAAAATAAATAAGTAAGATTTATATTTTTCTTTAAAACAACTCAAAACTGTTATGATAGTTATGAGAACAAGTTTTTTTTTTTATAAGATAGGGTGACAAACGAGCACACAGTCCACCTGATGGTAAGTGATTGCTGTGGCCCATAGACATCTACATCTATCCTCGTTTGCGAATCAAAATGCAGATGCGTTGTCACCCGTGAGGACTAAGACGGAATGCCTCTTTTCCAGTAAAAAGGGTATCCGGTTCTCTACACTCACCATACGAAACACAGTAGTGTTAAGCTGCTATTTGACGCTGGCATTCTGTGACCAATGACCATAGATTGAATATGTCGACGAACGTCAAACCTGCACGCGACTTATAGCGATCCCTCAGCCTTCAAAAAGCACTATGTGCACTTCTACTAAACAATAGAAAAATATATAGTATTCACAGCGAGATCATGGTGGAGATATGAACAATATTATAACTGTAAAAATACTCACCAAAAACCATTGTACATTAGGTGATACCCCACCGGCGACCTTGCAATGCACCTTCCCAGAATTATTCAACTCCAGCTTCCTGTTGTACGGTTCCGGTTCGAAACGGAGCGCGCCATCTGCTGACGAGTAGTATTATATTAGTAAAGTTAATATACAGGGTTGTTTTGCAATAACCGGCCAAATTTGCAGAGAAGGTTCAAAATAAGTAATATAGGCAAACGGTGAAGAAATATTAATTTTAAAAAAAATCTCAAACATTTTGTCCTTTTTATCTTTAAAATTCAAAGTGCCTGGTAATGCATTATTTTAACAGATTTTAATGCGGACGCAAACATTCGTAAGGGTGGATAGATCGACAAAAACGTGAATTGAATCACACACAGAAGAGCGCGCATACGCGTAGTTCTTGCCCATAGATCACATTCAATTTGGGATAATTTCAAATTAAAGTAGAAGACTTATTTTTTCGTATTTTAAAAAACTGCAATAACGGTACATCATTATTTATAATATATTGGAACTTAAGTTTAAAATTTGGCTACTCTTTGAAAATAAAGACCCCTGTTCTTTTTTCTTATTATAAGCTTGACCCGACCTGTTCTGGTCCTAGTCACAATCCCAGAAGGTAAATCGTACTGTCTTAGCGTAACAAAAGCCTATTAACTCTTGCCTTGAAGTTACTCAGTTTTATAATAACTCAGATAAGACAGACGCCGACAGACTATTTCACTCCTTGGTTGTACGTATTGCGAAACACCACGTTTTATACGTGGTAGAGCCATGCTGCAGCTATATATCTGGTGTAGTAGTAGTACGAATGGGTCGGCTCGACCGGGAATGGACCACGATCTCACATAATACCAGGGTAAAACAGCACATTAACGTTGCTGTGTTTCATATGGTAAGTGTAGAGAACCGGAGACCCTTTTTACTGGAAACGAGGCATTCCGTCTTAGTCCTCACGGGTGACAACGCATCTATTATTATTATTTTTATTTAATTTATTTATATTTAAAAAAAACGTTACCCCCACTCTACAATTTTCTCCTGTATCGTGGAGGCAGTTTACAAACACAAATTGCACAAGGACAAACATTCAAACCCAGAACAATTATTTGTAAGCCATACAATAAAAAGTTGTTATCAGAAAGATGCTGCTGCCCATATCCTATTTAATTTCTCACTGTCGGCTTTTACGACACCCACGAGATGATGAGGTAGTGGATCACCTCAGTCTCTAACACAGCCACTACACGAGATATGCAATTAATAAGAATTTTCTTCTGTAGGCCATACAAATATTTGTTCGATGAGGTATTCAAATCCGCGCCCCTCACCGTTTTCTCGTCGTCAACTCAATGCTAAGCCACTGCACCAGGGAATCGTCAAAAAAATTATAATACTACATTATCGTAGGTTCGCATCGTGATCGATTCGACTTGGAAAACATATATGTAATTGAGAAGTCTATACCCAGTCCCAGTACAATTTTTAAAACAAGGCAGATTCAACACAGTTTCTTTGCAAAATTCAATTGTTTTCTTTGTAAAATTCATTCAATAATAATTACCAACAGGTGGAATGTGTGTTCGTTTGTCATCCCTTCGTATAAATAATTGATGATATAAAACGCAAAATCGTGCTAAACTGATATACCAGGTACCTTATAACTCAATTCAAACGCATGATTTTTTATGTCTGTTACCTCATAACTTTTTTCTGGGTAAAAAGTTGGTCGATTTCAATGATTCTTATTTTTTTTCACAAGCACACAGTCCACCTGATGGTAAGTGGTTGCTGTGGCCCATAGACATCTACATTTATCCTCGTTTGCGAATCAAAATGCAGATGCGTTGTCACCCGTGAGGACTAAGATAGAATGCCTCTTTTCCAGTAAAAAGGTCCTCTACACTCACCATACGAAACACAGCTGCATTAAGCTGCTATTTTACGCTGGTATTCTGTGAGAGCGTGGTCCTTCCCCGGTTGAGCCGACCCATTCGTGCTACAACTATACTACTAATATAGCTGCAGCATGGCTCTACCACGTAAAAAATATAAATATAAATTTCTCCATACAGGTCCCATATTACTACTTAATCTAAATGAAACATAAGTAAGGGCACACAAATTTAGATTTTATGGTTAGTGATTACTACAGTAAATGTGACAAAATTTACCAAAAATACAAGGGACGCGTGCAGTTATAAATGAGACTATCTCTACGAGGTATAATGTGATTAAGGAAAACTGTTTACCGCTGATAGCCCGATGTCTTCTACTTGCTTTATGAGATCGCATCCTATGAGCCGAATGATGGACAGCTTCTGAAAGCAAAAGTATTTTTTTTTTTCATCTTTATTACTTTTCCTACATCGATAACTAATAAAAAAACTAGATTTCTTTTTTATAGGAGAGTGGGCAAACGAGCATGCGGCTCACCTAATGTTAAGTGACTACCGCCGCCCATGAACAACCGCAACACCAGGGGAATTGCAGATGCGTTGCCGGCCTTTTAAAAAGGAGTAGGCTCTTTTCTTGAGGGTCCCTAAGTCGTATCGGTCCGGAAAAATCGCTGGTGGTAAACTATTCCACAAGGAAGTTGTACGAGGAAGAAAACATCTTCTAAATCGCACAGTGGTGGACGGCCAATCATCCAGATGGTGTGGATGGTATCGGGAGTTCTGCCGCGATGTGCGTTCGTGAAATTTGGCGGCTGGGATTAATCCGAACAATTCCTCAGAGCACTCCCCATGGTAAATGCGAAAGAAAATGCAAAGAGATGCAACATCTCTTCGCAGTGCCAATGAGTCGAGCCGATCGGAAAGGACTCGGTCGTCGACGATTCGAGCCGCTCTGCGCTGGATGCGGTCAAGTGGAAGGAGCTGGCACTGGGGAGCCCCAGCCCAGAGATGGGAACAGTATTCCATGTGAGACCGAACCTGCGCCTTGTAAAGTTGCAGGCGTTGAGCTGGCATGAAATACTGTCCCGCTCTGCTCAGCACGCCAAGAGTAGATGCACAGTCCCATGCAAAATTTCTCTAAAAACTGTCGGTACGAGTAACCCATTTTATTTGTTATCTGCCCTATTAGGTACCTACTGTTAAAATAAAACAAATTTCAATAAGAGATCATTTATTATGGTATCTTTCTTGTTTATCATAAAATGGATTTATTAAATATAAATCCATTTTATGATTACTTCAAATACTATTATAAATGCAAACATAAAAAATATAGATATTATATAAATCGATTTTTTGTGAATCGATACATCAGCTTACGATTCGAATCCATTTGAAAATCGATCTTTTTCGGAAAGAATCGACATCCCTACTGACGATGACAATGACAATACAAAATAGCGTCAGTTTCACGGCAGGAATTGACATAAATATTGCAAAAATAATTGATTTCCAATAATTTTTTTCTCAAAAAGTAGGCGTTTCCGGATGTTGCCTGTGTGCTTATAATAATGTATCCTTGCTGTAAAAAAAATATCAACCTCCAACTCGACGGACGTCAATGGAAAGCTAAGCCATTTGTCAACAATGTCGCCTATTGTTTTGACGTAACTCTAGTAGAAATAAATATACATTAATGTAAATTCAACCTTAAATGCATTTTTTAAAGTTGTATTCACAAAGCTACGTACAAATTAAAAGCGCAGCCAAATGTTCGAGTGGGCGCTCATTTGGTAAGGACATTTTTTGTCACTGATTGTGTATCTAGTTTTTTTATTAGTGATCGATGTTTTCCTACAAGAAAAGATACCGAGGGCGGACTAAATGCCTTCATAATTTAATGATAATCGAATTTCTGTCATAGCGGCCCGTTTTATAGGGATGGATGAATGATTACATCCTGTAAAAGTCCACTGTTAAACATAGGCCTCCCTCATAGATTGCCTCATGGGAGAGATTTTATATGGAAAATATTACTGGCCATCTCCTGTTCCAGTTTCTCTCTGTCCACTCTTAGGAAACCCACGGGACGATATGGAGGTAGTGGATATTCTTACACCGCCACTACACGGCATCATAGAGCAAGATATTTTATAGTAATGTATACAAATAAATAAAATTGAAGTGTCTGTTTGTAACGTCAAAATAACAGCTTTTCACTAAATGCATATGAAAGTATATATGGTATTTATAACAAAAACACAATTTTTAAAATTTTTGTCTGTCTGTCTGTTTGTCTGTCCGTTTATTGTATATAATTACACGCGGACGAAGTCGCGGGGAACATCTAGTTAATAATAAAACCAATCAGGTGTTTGACGTCCCAATGTCATAGTTAACCACGGCTACCTCCAGATTAAAATTATTAATTTTTGTTCCGATTTACGCCTCAGTTCCCCCCGTGACCATGGGCGCTGTAAAGTGCTCGAAACGTAGGGAATATAAAATAAGGTAATATATAAGACGCGTTAAAATCGCGATAAAATCCGTAAAACTAGTTTTATTTAAACGTGTAGTGCTCGCGTAAATACAAGAAATCATTATAAAACCCTCGTCCTAATATTTATATAAACACGTTGTGAACTTGATCCATCTATCCGCAGACCAAAAGTATTACGGGAAATCAATGGCACAGAAACAAATATTTGTCTGTCCGTCCATACTGCTGAGGTTAAGTGATAAGTGACGAGTGGTCGCCATGCGGTACAATAAGGAGTGACGCGGAACAGAGACAAGGGTGGTGCGTGTATATTTAGTAAGTGTAGGGTTCGTATGTGTTCGGAGTTTAAAGGACATTCCGTAAGAGGTATCCTGGATTATCTATATCACTTTACTAGAAATTTCATTAAGTAAAACTGAACTGATCTGGGATTAAAAATCTCTATAGTTAGTTAAAAGAATTTAGAAAATAATACTATACAAAGAAAATAAATCATGTACTAACATTTACCTTAATTTTGAATAAGCCATAACTATTTATTTATTTTTGTTTATTTATTAATTTCTAAAACTTACAACTATCATTACAGGATTACCTAATGAGATAGTGTAGCTGTCTAACTAATTTGTATTCATGCTTTAATTTTTGTAACAAATTACAAGCAATGCTATCTTTGTGAATTCACTCAGAGTACAACAGAACAGGTCCGTCTCACTAGCTATTAAGTAGAGCGTGTGGAGTGCGCGCGTCAGAGGCGCTTTACCCAGAAGGTTAGTCCGAGAGCGCGGCTCCACTAAGAGTCGCGGCTGCCGTCGGCACCACACATACCTCTCAGGAACATATAGGTTCAATTGTCCGAACATTTCAGCGTTATGAAATTTTCCTCTGAGTGTTTTAAAAATACACAAGGTGAGCACAAATTCCCTTCTAACTCTGGTTCATTATATGCTACCATACCTAAGATAAACAAAGTTGGATACATTAGAGAATAAAATGGGTACACACCTTAATAACGCATATACGAGTATAAATATCTAATAAATTTATTCTGTACGAGCTCTAACATGAGACTATACCTAGTTTCATGCGGAGCCCATATGACTGTATTACATTCAAGTTGATTCCGTAATAATGTATTATACAAGACGATAATCGCTTTTATGTTTGTGAATCTACGGACCGTGCGCAGCATAAATCCTAGATTTCTATAAGCAAATTTACAAATGTTTATGATGTGATCATGAAAAGTAAGCTCTGTGTTAAAAGTTACTCCTAAATCTTTAACTTCTCTAACCCTTGTAATGCTGCCCGTCAATGTGATAGTTATTTAAAATAGGAGTGTGCGCGCGAGAAAAACTATATATTATGTATCATTATCATCATTAAAGTCTCTCACAAGTCAACTTCTTAACATAGAAATCCCACAAAGCAGTGCAACGGTAGTGCCATATAATTAAATATATTTCGCATGAATTCCATGTCAAAAATATGAAATATATTACATACAATAAATACGGCATTTTATCATTAAATGCGACAATGTGGTCGCCCTACGAAGGGCATCGGCCAGGAGCATCGGCGTCCACTTTGAAGTCAACCTCGGCGTCATAAACGTGTCCGTGTGTTTATGTTTGCTCGTCGCAGCGTTTTGTAGTTTTAACCGATATACAGTCGGCAACAAATCGGATATTGCTCTTAAACACATTACATTACGTGGGTAAGGGAAGTGTTGATAGCATGCGGTAGACTGTATTGGACTGAATCGAGCACTTGCTGGTTTTAGACGGACTTCAGTGAGATATTATATAATTTAAAATTTAAAATTTTGTACAGCCGACTGCAATAATTATAAGTTATTTAAGAATAACTCAAAACCTATTGGTCTGACCTTGATCAAATTTATATGGGACCACACGAGAAGTACCAGCTTTGAAATAAAAAAAAGAATCATCGAAATCGGTTCTCCCAGTAAAAAGTTATGAGGTAACACACATAAATAGTGTCGCACGGATGGGTGGTAGAGCTACGCGGCAGTGCAGGGCAGTGTCGCACGGATGGGTCAGCTCGAACCGGGGTGGTACCACGACCTCACAAAAAACCAGCGTGAAGTAGAGGTTTACCTCTGCGTTTCGCTTGGTGAATGCAGGTGGCCGGAGGCCCTTTTTACTGGAAATGAGGCATTCCATCTTAGTCCTCACGGGTGACAACGCATCTACATTTTGATTTGTAATAGAGGATAGATGTAGATGTCTATGGGCTGCAGCAACCACTTACCATCAGGTGGACTGTGTGCTCGTTTGTCACCCTTATCCTATAAAAAAAAAATACAGTCGAATTGAGTACCGTCCCCTTTTTGGAAGTCGGCAGAAAAGATTTTTCATTAATTTAGACAATAAATCCAAATAAAAAAACATATGAAACAACTAGACTTATACGTTGAAAAGCCATGCTGTAGCTATATTATGGTTGTAGCACGAATGTGTCAGCTCAACCGGGGAAGGAACACGCTATCACAGAATACCAGCGCAAAATAGCAGCTTTTAATGCTACTGTGTTTCTTATTACCGTGTAGTGGCGGGGTAAGAATATCCACTACGTCATATCATCTCGGAGGTGTCGTATGAGGCGACAGAGGGAAACAAAAAAGGAGATGGGCAGCAGCGTCTTTCTAATAAAGATTAAAAATAAAAAACAATGTTTGCCAACCCACTTGCCAAGCGTGGCAACTATGGCATCTTTGGGGGAGGCCTATGTTCAGCAGTGGACTTCAGTAGGCTGTAACAATAACAGTAACTGTGTTTCGTATGGTGAGTAAAGAGAACCGGAAACCATTTTTACAGGGTACAAGGCATTCCATCTTCGTCTACCAGGGGTAACAACGGGTCTGCTTTTTGATTCTTAATGTGATAGATGTAGATGTTTA